ACTAACTGTTCGACTGGGTAACTGAAACTTGTGACTTGACGTGTCTTTGCTTGCAATGAACCTTATCCTATAACCAACACTTTTTCCACACATGTATTTGTGTCTGTACACTTACTTTCAATCAATCATTACCAACACGATTTATAACACACGCTCTCCTTCAGAGGTGATCGAGGCATGCGACCATGCAGCCTCATGGCCTTAAAGATGATGGGTTTTAAATGTTGAACACATGCCCACCTTCAGAGGTGGTCGAAGCATGCGACCATCCAGGCTCGTGGCCTGAAACATGATGAGTTTTGAATTTTGAACGCATGCCCACTTTCAGAGGTGGTCCAAGCATGCGACCATCCAGCCTCGTGGCCTTAAACATGATGGGTTTTGAATTTTGAACACATGCCCACCTTCAGAGGTGGTCGAAGCATGCGACCATCCAGCCTCGTGGCCTTAAACATGATGGGTTTTTGGCCTTAAACATTTTGTCCACCAACCTTTGATACGTTGCACCCGCATTTTTCAGGCCGAACGACATCACCACGTAACAATAAGTTCCTCGGCTCGTCACGAAGCTCACCCTCTTCTAGTACTCTCTCGCCAAGGGAATTTGATGATATCCCTGCAAGGCATCCATCAGGCTTAACAACTCACACCCAGCAGTTGAATCGACCAGCTGGTCGATCCTGGGCAGTGGGTACAGATCCTTCGGGCATGCTTTATTCAGGTCCCGAAAATCTATGCACATTCTCCATTTCCCTTCGGCTTTGGACACCATTACTGTATTCGATAACCATTCCGGGAATTGAATCTCCTTGATACGCCCAGCTCCCAACAACTTCTCGACCTCTTGTTCGATAATTTTATCCATCTCCACTCCATGGTGCCTTCACTTTTATTTCACCGACCTCACACTGAGGTCGATGTTTAAGCGGTGCTCGATCACCTCTGCACTTATCCCCGTCAACTCTTCCGCCATGTAAGCAAAAATATCGGCAAACTCTCTCACCAAACTAATCAACTTCGACCTAATTGGCTCCTCCAACTCTTTCTCGATCCTAAACTTCCTCTCCTCATATCCCTCGACCATCTGGATCTCCTCAACCTCCCCTCCTGGTTGGATATCTACTTTCTACTTACCCTTCTCTAACCTCAACCTATCCTCCTTTGATCTCGACCCGCCTGGTCGAGTAACTTATTCTTCTTTCAGTTTGGCCTGCCTCTCTGCCAACTGCTTGTTATTGCTCACCGTTGTCTTAACAACTTCTCGACGTAAGTTGGTCCCCAGCAATCTCACCAACGTTTTCGCCCACAAGATACTTGATCGTCATGTGGTACGTGGATACGACTGCCTGGAATGCGTTCAAGCTCGTCCTACCCATAATCATATTGTATGATGATTCTGCTCCTATGACCACAAATCTTACCATCTGCACCTTCCTCGTCACTCCTGACCCTAGCGCAATCGGTAAACTAATCTCGCCCATCGGCACCACTTCGCCCCCATTGAAACCGTACAAGGCCGTGGCCACTGGCTTTAACTCCATGTTCAACTCCTTGTTAATCTGCACAAAACAATCATAAAACATCACATCTACCGAACTCCCGGTATCAATAAACACCCTCTTCACATCAAAACCCGCCACCTCTGCGGTAATCACCAAGCATCATTGTGTAGTAATACCACTCCTTCAACGTCCTCCACTTTAAAACTTATCACTGGCATGTGAGCCGTGATTCCGACCTCCTCTCTCTTCCTCTTCACAGCTTGGGCATGTCCTTTCCTGGCATTATTCGAGTCGTCATCCGTTGGCCCTCCTAAGATCATGTAGATCGTTCCTCTCTTCACGAGAGCTTCACCTTCTTGCCCTCCTGTCTCTCCATCTCTTCTTGGCTTCTTCCCTCGACCATCTCGACCATCTCTATCATCCCCCTCCTCATCTCTATCACTTCTTTCCTCCAAATCCTCCCGACATCTCCTTTTTCCCTTTCCCTTCACCTTTCATGATACACAAACTCTTTCAAATGCCCCGCCCGAATCAACCTCTCAATCTCATCCTTCAAATGCCTAAAATTCTCCGTGGTATGTCCATAGTCCTGATGAAAACGGCAGTAGATATCCGACCTAGGTCGAGTCGGGCCTGTAAACCTCATCTTTGGTCATGTCACATCCTCGCTCAGAATCCTCTGCTCCATCGCCTCGAGAACTTCCATCATATCCTTTCTTAAAGGCATGAAATTATGGTACCTCTGTCTTTCGAACAACAACGGCCTCCCTTGCCACCTATCATCCCTTTTCGCCTGCTTCGAATCTCGCCCTTCTCTTCTAGGGGATGTTCTTTTTGGCCCACTCCGTCTGGATGAATTTCTCCTCGGCGATCTTTCCCTTGGTGGGCTTTTTTCCTTTTTTGGCTCAGGTCGAGCAACTCCCTCTAACTTTGCAAACTCCACCTTCATCTCCCCCAAGTTACTATACTTCCTGCATCGCTTCAAAACATCCTCGTACGATCGAGCAGGGGTCTTTGCCAGCGAGGTTCGGCAAGGCCCTGCTCGAAGACTCCTTATCAACCCTCCTACCTTCACCTCATCTGATGCCGAGTGTACCTCTAAGCACGTTTGATTATATCGAGCAGCATACTTCGTCAATGACTCCTTCTCTCTCTGCTTCATCGCCCTCAAGGTCAAATATGTCTTCTCCTGAGCCACCGCGCTCGAGTATTGATTAGTAAACTTACTGGCGAAATCCTCAAAATCCGCAATCAACCCCGAAGGCAGCTGATGAAACCAATCAAGCGCTCCTCCACACAAGGTCGATAAAAATGCCCTGCAACATACAAAATCAGAATATCCATGCAACACAGCCATATTTTCAAAAGTCCTCACATGCCTCGACGGGTCAGATGACCCGTCATACGCCAAATTAGTCTCCCTAAAATTATTCGGCAAAGGAGCCGCGAGAATCTCTCGAGAAAGGATGTCCTCGAGCCCTCCTCTCCGGCCTCCCTTCAACCCTATCCTGCTACTGGCGCAACTGCTCCGCCATCCTCTCCATCGCACGATCTCTCACACCTCCCCTGTCTCCATAGCTAGACATATCCTCGTCTTGACTTCCTACCACCGTGGTCGGCGCGGTTGTGGCGTGAGACGTGTGGCTCGTGACTTGTTAAACCGCCTGCGCCGCCGCGGCCACCACCATCCTCTGCATCTCCTCCCGAGTCATCGCCACCATCTGTTGACCGGGGATTTGGGCACCCACCTGTGATGGCGCTCCTCCTTGCACCACCGCTCCTCCTGGTTGCGCCACCACTGGGTTTTGGGGCGGCGGTGGCATCGCCGCCGCAGCTGCTGCACGAGCCTCCTGGGCACGACTGGAGCTTGCATCTCCTCCGGGAACTGTCGTAGACGCTCCCACACCTTGAAGGATGGGTGTAGGAGTGACTGGCGTCTGCGGAGGGCCAGAGAAACCTAGAGGAGGGCCTTGCCCAATCGTCCTGGTCGTCGTCCAAGCGTCATCGAACGTCGACTGTAAGTTGGTTCTGGGAATTCCGTCCGCCACAGCTGAGCTCCAAACACAACCTTTCGAACAAGAAGTCCCACAGACGGCGCCAATAATGCAGGTGTGAGCGTCC